CCATGGCTGGAAGAGCCACGCTGCTGTTTGACCGAGGGCTTCGGCTCGAGCCCGGACCCCCCCTCCCTGGACCTGCCTTCCTCTGCTCTCAGGAGAGTCACGGCTGAAGGTCTGAGCTGACAGCGCTTCGCCTGTTCCACATTTCGGTTTTAGAAGAGAAACCTAATTAAAACTGGCTGTCGGGCAATACGCTACTGCAGGGGCACGCAGGCTGCGGAACAGCAGGCTGGATGGCCAGGGCTCCAGGAGGGAAAGGCAAGGGGAAGATCGCCAAGTATCCTCTTTAAAGGGCAGCAAATGTTTTATATCCCTTCCCGCGCCGCACTTTCTGTAGTATTTCAGCACGAGCGTTTTGCTAAGTACTACCTGCTTTAAATCCAACAGCCAAACGTGAAAGCAGCCGACCCGCCCGACCATGTCCCCGCCGGCGGCTGCTGCCTCCTGCGCGTTTTTGTCCCCGCCGGGGGCTGCTGCCTCCTGCGAGGGCAGAGGAGGAGGAACAGCCCTTCCCACTGCCTCTTCCATTCTCAGATGCTCCTGGACAAGCACACGGACCCGTCTGCAGGCAGGGCAGCCCGGGGGGACAGCTGGCCTTTGGCGATGGCTTTACAAGCGTCACCGGGTGCCTTTCACGGAGCCAGACGCCAGTCCTGCAGCCAAACACCGGCCGGCTCGCTCCTGGCAATGCCAGCGTCCGCTTTGCTCCCGACTCGCGTGGTTTGTGCCTGGTCTACGACAGCACCAAGCCCGGGCAGCATCACCCCCGCCACGTCCGTGGCCCGGTGTGACAACCGCCGGGCAGGACGCTGCACGGCTCTCCGCCCCCGCGAGCCGCTCTTCTCCTCGCCGAGATAAGCGTTCAGCGAAACAGAATGAACGCTACAGATAGAGATGCCCGGAGCAACGTCGCTGAGAGAGCTGCCCTCAGAGGCCAGACTGCAGAGAAACAATTATTTAGCAAACGACGGTGGCAAATTAAAGCAGCGGGTGGCCGGGGAGCAGGGCCCTGGAGAC